AATTTATGAGTAAAGCAAAATATCATTTGTAGCTGGAGAATTTCTCTCCAGGTCCCACCAAGCCCCACAGTCCCACAACCCACGTATAAAATAATCACTCAGACACTTATATTACTTATAAACTGTATGGCCATGGCAGGCTTCTTGTTATCTACTTTTTCTATCTTAAATTAACCCATTTCTATTAATCTATAAGTTGCCACGTGGCTTGTGGCTTACCGGTACCTTACATCTTGCTTGTCATGGTGGTGGCTGGCAGGTCTCCCTGACTCAGCCTTCCACTTCCCAGAATTCTCCTCTCTCCTTGTCCCGCCTATACTTCCTGCCTGGCCACTGGCCAACCAGTGTTTTATTTATACAGAACGATATCCACAGCAATCATTAGGAATCATTTTATTGATTCCTCCCCCTCTATGTAGTAGGAAATCTAGTAGAGTCATTGTATCTAGGGTACATTAGAATGAAATAGTTGTTTTCACTGTACCTAGGGTAAACATCAGAATGAATAGTTGTTTTCCAGAAGTACTTAGACCTTGAAGAAATCATTGTGAAAGACAGTGATTGTTTTCTGTTATCTATAGTTGTTTTGTGAAGGTGGTTTACAGCCTGTCTTAGGGTTTCTATTGCTGCGATGAAACATCATGACCAAAAAAGCAAGTTGGGGAGGAAAGGATTTATTTGGCTTACACTTCAGTATTGCTATTCATCACTGAAGGAAGTCAGGACAGCAACTTACACAAGGCAGGATCCTGGGGGCAGGAGCTGAAGCAGAGGCCATGGAGGGGAGCTGCTTACTGGCTTGCTTTTGCTTCCCCTGGCTTGCTCAGCCCACCTTCTTATAGAACTCAGGACCAACAGTCCAGGGATGGCACCACCCACCATGGGCTGTGCCCTCCCCCATTGATCACTAATTGAGAAAATGCCTTACAGCTGGATCTCATTGAGGGATTTCCTCAACTGAGGCTACTTCCTCTGATGACTCTAGCTTGTGTCAAGTTGAAACACAAAACCAGCCAGTACAACTGACCCCTTGTCAACTTGACAAACAAACCCATCACTATTAAGTCACATCCCTTCCTTTATTTTTCATCTCCAAGATCTCACATTAAAATCATAAACAATTTTAAAAATTCCCAGTCTTTACTAATCCAAACACATTAAAATTTAGTCTCTTTTAAAATATCTAAACTTTTTTAAAAGTTCAAGTCTTTCAGCTGTGGGCTCCATTAAAAAATCAAAATTAAATACCTTCTTCAAGAGGGAAGAACCAGAGCAGTGTTACAATCTGAACCAAGCAAAATCAAACTCCAACAGTATAAATAACTCAATGTCCAATTACCTGGGATTCACTCATGATCACTCTTCTGGACTCCTCCAAAGGGCTTGGGTCACTTTTCCAGCTCTGCCCTCTGCAGCACATAGTTTATCTTCTAGGATCCGGCTGGCTCCACTCCACTGCTGCTACTAGTTCCATCCATTTGCCTACAAATTTCATAATGTCATTTTTTTTAACAGCTGAGTATTATGTACATGTATCACATTTTATTTATCCATTCTTCAGTCTAGGGACATCTGGGTTGTTTCCAGTTTGTTTATTGTGAATAATGGTGCTACAAACATAGTTGAATAAGTGTCTTTGTGGTAGGATGAAGCATCCTTTGGTTATATGCCCAAGAGTGGTATAGCTGGGTCTTGAGGTAGAATGATTCTCAATTTTCTGAGAAACCGTCATATTGATTTCCAAAGTGGCTGTACAAGTTTGCACTCCTATGAGCAGTGGAGGAGTGTTCCCCTTGCTCCACATTCTCACCAGCAGAAGCTGTCACTTGTGGTTTTTAGCTTAACCATTCTGACAGGTGTAAGATGGAATCTCAAAGTAGTTTTGATTTGCATTTTCCTGATGGCTAAGGATGTTGAACGTTTCTTTATGTGTTTCTCAGCTATTTGAGATTTCTCTGTTGAGAATTCTGTTTAGATCCATACCCCATTTTTTAATTGAATTATTTGGTTTGTTGATATCTAGTTTCTTGAGTTTTTTATATATTTTGCATATTAGCCCTCTATTGGATGTGGAGTAGGTGAAAATCTTTTCCTATTCTGTAGGCTGCTATTTTGTCCTATTGACGGTGTCCTTTGCCTTACAAAAGCTTTTCAGTTTCCTGGGGTCCCATTTATTAATTGTTGATCTTAGTACCTGTACTATTGATGGTTGGATTTTATATGGGTTCTGGGAATAAAACTATATATAATATATATATATATATATATATATATATATTTATATTTATATATATGACATAAAGTATATTTTTGGAAAGCTAATCAAAGGTGATATAAATTAGTTGGAAATGGCTTGTAAAAAAAGCATGCTATGTGATTTCTTAAGACAAATGTATTTATTTATAATGTGGCTATAACAAATAACAAGTATTTAGGCTTTACTTTTAAAAACTGGAATAACTTTATCATAAATGCTTGGAATAAAAACTTTGTAAGTGGCAAGGCCTGGTGCCAAATGTCTTTAAACCCAGCACTCATGAAACAGAGGCAGGTAGATCTAGGTAAGTTTGAGGCCAGACTGGTCTACATATTGAGTTCCAGGCCAGCCAGGGTTACATAGTGAGACTCTATCTGAAACATTTTTAAAAAATATATAAACTCAGTATCATCAATCATGTCAGAATTTTCTACATGGTATGCTTAGTATTTGCTGCAACTCCTTTTGTAGGTCCTTTATCCAGCACCTTGCTCTTTTTCTTCTATTATCTAATTATCTGAAACTTTAGAGGAGCGGGTACCGCCCAATGAGGGTATGTGACTGCTCTGGTCACATACCATGGTCCTATGGTTGAGATCCAAAGAACTGGGAGTGACATCATCTTGTACAATAAAATGCTCCTCTTGGTGAGCAAAAGGCCTACATAAGAAATGCAGATTTGAGGAGCTGCAGTCCAGTTCATCCACTGTCTCATTCACTCCAGCTTAACACAGCATCAGTTGGTGGTTGTCCTGAAGGATCTTCTCTGAAGTCATTGTATGGTAAGGAATCTCTCAATTGCCCTTTTAGATTCTGTGAGATTTAGATAATTGAACAAGTTTTTTAATACAGACCATTTTCTACCAGTATTATGCCAATTTTTATTGTAAAATGTTAAGGGGAGGTGATTTTTGCTAATATAAAATGTAGCAATAAAATAGATTTATGGTAAGAAAGTCATGAATCATCTATTTTTATGATGAAAGCTTTTTGGAATACCTTTTCTAAAAGCCACCTGAAAGTATAGAAAATTGATGAACATTAGCATGATACTCTTCAAAAATTTGGAATAACGATAGGCTGGTGGAGAGACAATAATCCTGATGTAAAAAGTCAACAATAATTTATCATGTGTAGCATATGTTTATTTTCCTGTAGGGTATCCTTATCTATATTTTAAATTTTATGGCTTCTAAGGAGCTTAGCCTGCATACTAAGGTTGCAAAATTTTCCTTTCACTGTTGAATATTCATTCCTCTTATACAAAGAATAGCATTTTCTAATCTTTAAAACTGTGCAGGCGTTTAAGGATGCTTTATGGTCATTTGAGCTCTTTTCATGGCATTCCTCTATAAGAAGTCCATCTTCCTCAAAAGAACAAGAAATAAAGCAGAGATGTCACTAGGTCACCTGAACTGATAGGACTAGACATCAATGCTCCTGTTCACCAGCTACAGTGCTTGTGTCTGACTGAGCCCAGATTTTCCTTGGTTACTCCATCAACAACTTACAGTGTGCAGTGAAGAGAAATATTGCAGACTATAAGTTTTCTTATGCTACTTTTAAGGATGCAGGTTTTTTTTAATTCCTATTGTGTGTGGGTCACTTAAAAAGTAGAATAGTTACTGTTTTTTAAAAATGCTACTATAATAATAATGTCTGCAACTGTGGACCTACAGATTAAGCCAAAAAATATGCATATTGATTTATGAGAAAGAATAAAGAACTAGAAGTTATACTAAACCATAGCTGTTAAGTTGAAGTTATAAGATGCAGACACTCATTCAAAGGTCCAAGAATAATATAGAAGAAATTGATTTTTAAAAACTTTGACACATACTTTTTATGTGTGTATTATCATACACATGTGAATATGTGCACGCATGTGAAGGCCAGAGGTCAATGTTGGATGTCTTCCTCTATCATTCACCACCTATTGTTTTTGAAACTTTCCCAATGCTAGAATTACAGGTGCACTGGTGCTGTGCCCAACATGTTTATATGGGTGCTGGGGTCTGAAATTAGGTCCATGCTTATACAGCCAGCACTTTACTAACCGAGGCATCCTCCTAGCCATGACACATTGTTTTCATTGTAAGAGGTGTGTACATTATTAATACAGTAAAGATATAAAAATTAAACCTTATAGTTTGACATGGTGGTGAATGCCTGAAACCCCAATGTGCTAGGGACCAAGGCAGGAGGCTCATAACTTCAAGCTCAGCTTGGGCTACATAGCATGATCTTATCTCAAAAATAAAAATAAAATCCTACAAATTTAGTATTTATGGTTATTATGATAGCATCTGAAAATAAGCTTAATCATGAAGACAGTGTTTGCTCACTAAACAGTGATAATTTACCTAATTAATAGATTAGTGAATTTTAAGCCTATTATAAACACTTAGGTATAGCCAACATAAATATGGGAAGAAATGATAAAAAATGTTCTTCATTCATCATGTGTTTTAAATTTCATGTTAAAATTTGTACAAGAAATTCAGAAAGCTACCTAAGAAAGCCATGTATCCAATTTCTCTAAGTTAGGTGTACATGTTATTTTACTAATGTATCTGTTATATAAAGAGACTAATTCCAAAGACTCATGAAAAACAACTCAATTGATCACTATGACGTCAGCTAACTGCTGATTCCTTAGGTGGCTATGAATAATAACTACTAGGACTTTAGAACACTGATGGTATCTTAAACTATCTCAATGTTGTTTCTCCTTTTAGTAAAGATGATGTCTGAAAAAGCCATGGCTAAATTAATGATCATCATGCTGGCAGTTTGTCTTCTCACCCAAACAGATGGGAAACCTGTTAAGTAAGTGCTGCAGCCCATTCTGCACTGGGAAGATGTGGACTTGAGGTTTTGTGGTAGATTTTTATGATGTGGACATGGAGCTAACGGAGTGGCTCTCTCTTTCTGTTCTTCCTAGGAAGAGAGCTGTCAGTGAAATACAGCTTATGCACAACCTGGGCAAACATCTGGCCTCTATGGAGAGGATGCAATGGCTGAGAAAGAAGCTGCAAGATGTACACAATTTTGTTAGCCTTGGAGTTCAAATGGCAGCCAGAGAAGGTGGTTACCAGAGGCCCACCAAGAAGGAGGAAAATGTCCTTGTTGATGGCAATCCAAAAAGTCTCGGAGAGGGAGACAAAGCTGATGTGGATGTATTAGTTAAGGCTAAACCTCAATAAATGCTGATCTACTAGAGAGTAAGGGGCAAAATTATATGCTGCTACCTTTTCAAGCTCCGTGAAGATCACCAAGTGCTAATACGTCTACTGTAATGAAAATCCAGAATTTTTTTTCAATTCTATCTTTGCTCATTTAAGGTCTTTCAATGATTCCATTTCAATATGTTCTTCTTTTTAAAACATGTTACTGCAGAACTTATAAAAGAATAACTTACACATTTCCACTTCTCTCCTTAAATAAAAAAATAAAACTTTCATGATCATGAATCAAATTAGTAGTGTTTCTTACTTGTTAAAACTATTTCTCAGGTCTGGAGGCTGGCTCAGAAGTTAAAAGTGCATACTGCTCAATCACATGACTTGAGTTGGTTCCCAGGCCCTGCATCAGGTGGCTCACAATCACCTGTAAGTCCAATTCCAGGAAGATTCAATGCTCTTGGCCTCTGCAGGGACCTACACTCATATGCACATACATATAATTTAAAATAACAAAAAATCTAAATAAATCCCATGTCTCTTGTAATGACATATACCCAAATGGTTTTATTGACATGAATTTGTAAAATAACACAAGAAAAAATGTCCTTAACTCATTTACTTCAGTTCTATATTTTGAACATTGACTATTTTTAATTCCAGAGTACTAGGTCCCCAAATACACACTATCTGGGTATTGCTCTCCCCTTTTTAGGAAACCCAAGGAAATACTTAGGAAATGGGGTAGAAAGTGGTCTAAGACTTGACTACAAAGCATTTGACATTACATAAACTCAGAGTATATCTATACTCTGAACTCCAAATGGCAAGGAATAGAAATACAGGGTTTATCCATTATTTACCAATCCTTATTTAGTGTCCATTATGGGTATATACCCATTTGTCTTGTATTGCACAGACATGGTTCTTGTCTCCATAGAGCCCCCAAATTTAAGCATTAATTCATAACTTTGAGGAGTTCTAAGTATGAAAAACATAATATACTACAGGGGTGCAAAATATGGAGCCTATGATATTTATTTAGATAAGTGATATTGTACAAAATATTGTACAAAATGGAAATATTCCACACTCTTCTGTCTATAATGATAGTCACACTCACGTTCATCTAAAATGTGGCTAGTATAACTGTGAAAATTGATTTAACATTTTGATTAATTAATTTAAACATCAGGTTGTGGTCAGAATTGGACCTCTAAGCTGTAGGTCCTCCAAACACCTACAGGTTTTCACTTCTAGCCACTTAGTACCATAATTTAGATACTATCTATACCTTGATAAAAATCAAACAAATTTGTTGTTGTTTTTCAAATAGTAATACTTACTATTTAGAAGTTTTTATTTAAACATATGTATACTTTATTTAAAAAAATAAAGATTAAAAAGGTTGGTGTGGTGACATATGCCTTTGATCCCAACACTCAAGAGGCAGAGGCAGGTAAAACTTTGTAAGCTTGAGGCCAGCCTGGCCTAGACATCAAGTTCCAGCCCAATTAGGGCGACATAATGAGAGTGTCTCACAAAAATAAAATGGGCAGCTACTACTTACTGGTCAGGTTATGCAATAGAACTTTCTTGTCAGTCCTTCTTTGATCACAAAGCCTGTTTTTGCCCACATTCTATTTATTCTCTCAACCCGAATAATTTTCTTTTGCAAGATATGGAATCAGTCTTTTAGACCTAAGCCCAATCTTCCCATTTTCACGTTTATGCTAGTAAGCATCTAAATTAGTTTGGAGAATGAAATTGATATTAGAATGAACCAAAAGTATTTTCACCTAAATTAACTAGAAACTAATTAATTAATTAATTGTTTCTTTTGAGACAGGGTCTCTCTATGTAGTTCTGGCTGTCCCAGAACTCTCTATGTAGACCAGGCTGGTCTCAAACTCAGAGATATGCCTGCCTCAGCCTCCCAATTGCTGGGATGAAAGGCATGAGCCACTATGCCTGCTAACTAGACATTTATTCACATAAAATCACCAGAATATGACTACTGGATATGTGAAGAGGTTTGTAGGGTTGTCATGGGCTCCACTTCTACCAAATCATCCTAAGTTTGTCTCCATGCCAGGCAGCCAGGAGTATGGGAATACTATGAATGGGCCAGACCTGGAAAAGCTGATATTATCTTTTTAGACACAATTGCAAAACTAAAATTACTTATTAGCTTTAGGACAAATTATCATCTTTATTACCATTATTATCTCATCTAGTCCATCAGCACTGTAAGATTCCTAATTGACTCTCATCTCTTTTTATGCTTTTTAAATAGGTTACATTTTCTCTGGATTTTAGGTAGCTCATGTTGATTAATAAATACTATACAGATCTGTGTCTATCCTGAAGGGCACTTAAAGTTTTATTATTTTGCTAGTTGAATATTTTTGTACAGAATAATATTCAGTTTTCTCCTACATGTTGTGAGATTCCTTTATTAATTAAAATTGTGTATCTTTTGATGAAATTTATTTTTCTAGACCATTGATCATGCAAAATAATGGCACGTTTATCTCTTTTCTCTCTCATTACACATCTTTGTTTCTTATAGTTTTACCCAATACCTATAATTTTTATTTTTAATTTATGAGGGATGCTACTGTTCTTCCTTAATCTGTTCTTGACCTTGAAAGTGATATCAATAGGGGCTGGAGAGATGGCTCAGAGGATAAGATCACTGATTGTTCTTCCAGAGGTCTTGGATTCAATTCCCAGCAACCACATGGTGGCTCACAACCATCTATAATGAGATCTGATACTCTCTTCTGTCATGCAGGCAAACATGCAGACAGAACACTCTATACATAATAAATAAATACGTCTTTTAAAAAGTGATATCAATAATTTCTCCAGAAAAAAAGGCTTTTAACATACTATCACATTCCCTTTCATAGCTGGGTCTACAAAGGCTCTTTGTAAATATAAAGAAGCACTGGACTTTATAAAATGCTTTCCTTATAAACATATATACTTTCCACTCCCTGTATGTTAACTTTGTAAATTAAATATTTTATGTGCCTATAATTAAGTGTACATAACACAAATTAGTTTTTTTTTTAGCTTTTTAACCACTTTATTAATTTTTTTTTCAAGAGAGGATTTCTCTGTGTATCCCTGGCTAGTCTGGAACTCACTCTGTAGATCAGGCTGTCCTTGAACACCTGACTCTGCCTCCGGAGTGCTAGGATTAAGGACATGTGCCACCACTACCCGGCTTATAGCCCCTTTATGAAAGAATCCTTGAAATATAAAATTTATATTTCACTTCTAATTTTAAGTTAGCAAAGAATGAAATCATGCATTTTACAAGTGAATACAACTGGAGATCATGTTAAGCAAAATAAGCCAGACTTAAAGATAGGCATCTCATATGCAGGATGTAGGAATTTGTGTATTTGTATGACATGAGAGGAGAAACGGAATTATGAGAGGGTAAATAGAGATCTACGGGAGGAGGAATAAGAGAAGGCATTGGAATACAAAGCTTTTCTTCATAAATAGAGAAGTTTATATTTATTACAATCTTGTGTAAATATATATGGTTTGTTTAAAAGACTATATTTATGTATAAGGATGTGTGTATGACTAGAGTCGGAGTTATAAGCAGTTGTGAGCTGATTGATGTGGGTGCTAGAGTCTGAACTCAGGTCCTCTGGAAGAACAGCAAGTGCTCTTAACTGCTGAGCTATTTCTCTAGTCTTGCTTTTTTAAAAGAAAAATATAAAAATGAGCATCCACTTTTCACTCTTGAGATTATGTAGTAGCATGCTGCAGTACCTTAGAATTTCAACGTACATTCTTTGATCACACACCATCTTTTTTTTTAAACCATATTCTTGTTTTAATGTATTCTCTTGGTTTTTTTCTAGTTAACCACATATATAGGCATTTTAAAAATGAACGTCTAATTCTATTTTTTTTTCAAATATCTGTCTTTGTAAATCATGGAGTCTGTTTTTCCCATATTCCTTTTCTCACCATCTACCATGACTAAGTCCCCTATTTCCCATTTTAAAGGTTTTTGTTTGTTTGTCTTTTGCTAGTTAGTATCTAATATAACAGAGTGATATATATGAATTATTTGGGATAATAAATTGTTTGATTGGGATGAGGCCACAAGCTCAACTACCCTGCCTACCTTTTAGTCTCCAACTCTCTATGGCCAGGAGACAACCTTGGATTATTGGAACTCAGTTTCACCCTTCCTTTTTTGGAGATGTCTGAACTCCTCTTTGCATCAAAGGCTGCTTGTATGGACCCTTGAAGGGTAAATTCTGTTCTACACTTAGAAGCTACCCTCTTAACTGTGGCATCCTTTTATTTCTTGACCGCTGTGTCTCGGGGCCACAAACACGCTAAGTACACGCTCTAAACACTGAATTATACCCCAATCATAATTTATTATCTTGATCTCAGGATGTTTATAAAGACATTTGGATATTCCGGGTAAAGTGGTAGATTAGAAGCTGCCCCTGTGAATCTGTGACTGAGAAGAGAAATAAATCACAGACCCTCTTTTAAAGAAAGGACTCCCCAGTCATCCTGCCAGTATTTGGGGTGGGAGAGGGCCACCAGACACCATCATGGAGAAAAGCAAGGTCAGATGTGGACATATTAAGAAATTTAGACAGTAGGGAACTTGGGCTGTGAAGGCGTGATGGTTCTACTCTCTGAACCAAGGAGCAAACTCAGTAGCACGAGGATCACAATAGAGAATTATAAGCCTAAACCTGTGGTCAGAAAACTGCTCATTGAAAGCTCTGCGCCTAAGCACACTGGATCACTTAATTTCCGGAGCATACCCCCACCTCCACCCCCACCCCCACCCCCAGGGTGATTGACTTCTAGGCAGAATCTGAAACTACTGAGACAGGAGTGCTGGCTTCTCTCTGTTCTCTCCCTCTAGTACAAATCTCAGATCTCTACTCCTCCTGCTCTCTGAGACATGTAGGAGATACTACTTGGCTTGCATATTAGACACCCCTACATACACAATCAAGGAT